TTTTTTTCAATTTGTTGAGTTTGCTTTTTTTTTTATTTCTTTCTTTTGATGACTTTTCTTTGTCTTTTCTTTCATTTGGTTCTCTTTCTTTTGTTTACTTTTTGTCCTTTCTTTCTTTTGTCGAGGTTTTTACTTTTTTTCCTTGCTTGTTTGTTTGTTTCTTTCTTTTTTCTTTCTTTCTTTCTTTCACTCTCTACTTTTCACTCTTTCCCCCACGTTGTTTTCTTTCTTTCTTTCTTTCTTTCTTTCTTTCTTTCTTTCTTTCTCTACTTTTCACTCTTTCCCCCACTCTTTGTTTTCTTTCTTTCTTTCTTTCTTTCTTTCTTTCTTTCTTTCTTTCTTTCTCTACTTTTCACTCTTTCCCTCACTCTGTGTTTTCTTTGTTTCTTTCTTTCTTTCACTCTCTACTTTTCACTTTTTCCCTCACTCTGTTTTCTTTCTTTCTTTCTTTCTTTCTTTCTTTCTTTCTTTCTTTCTTTCTTTCACTCTCTACTTTTCACTCCTTGCTTGCTTGCTTTCTTTCTTTCTTTCTTCTTTCTTTCTTTCTTTCTTTCTTTCTTTCTTTCTTTCTTTCTTACCTTGTCCAGTTTTCTTTTTTTTTTTTTCTTACTGTGACTATTCTTGGTTTCTTTTCTTTTTTTTCTTTTGTCAAGGTTTCTACTTTCTTTCTTTTTTCTTTCTTCAATATATCGAATTTTCCTTCTTCATTTTGTCATGGTTTGTTTGTTTGTTTCTTTCTTTCTAGTCCAATGTTCTTTCTTTCTTTGCCGCGTCAATTTTCAGTTTCTTTTTCTTTTTTCATTTTTTTGTCGAATTTTTCTTTTTTTTTTGTTTTGTCGGGTTTTTCTTTCTGTCTTTTTTCTTTCTTGTGTGAAGGTTTACTTCTGTCTTTCTTTCTTTCTTCATTTTGTTGAGATTTCTTTCTTTCTTTCTTTAGTGCATTTTCTTACTTTGCGTGCCTCGTCTATTCTGCTTCTTTGTTTTATTGCTTCTTTCTATTGAGCTTTTTGTTTCTTTTTCTTTTTTCCCTACCTATCTTGTGTGTCAAACTGTTTTTTTTATTTACATTTTTGTCGAATTTTCGTTCCTTTTCTCTATTTTGTCGAGTTGTCTTTCCTTCCCAGCTTCCTTCTCTCCTTTCTTTTTGCACCTTTTCTTTATTCCTTTCCCACTTGCCTGGTATTTTTGCACGAAAGCGCCCACTATCATCCACGCAATATATCGTTTCCTTTTTGTCTCCGAGGAAAAATAAAGAAATAAACAAGAAAGAACAACAAAGGGCCGAGAGCGACAACTTCCGACGCGAAAATTACAGATTAAATGGACTTTCGAATCAGCCTTGAAGACATCTATAAGATACAAACAATCGCCAAGTGATACATTAAAAGAAAAGTTTAAATTCGGAAGAAAAAAAACTTCTATGAGAATAAAGAAAAACAAAACAAAAAAAAAAAAAAAACAGGCAATAGAAATAGTTTTAGACCCATTGATTTCGTAGATGACTACAGTTTTTAGATCTTAACATTTGAGTAAGCTGCAACACGCCTGGGAGCAAAAAAGAAAACAAAGCTGCAAAGTATTGTTGTTTACCACTTCGTGGTAATTACGATCTGTGTACCCAGTAAATGATTCCTTGTCGTGATCAGAATCTCTTTTCATCAGGGTCGTAATACTCAAAGTATTCTAGATGAATCCATTTCTAAACCTATACTAAGTGGCGGGGCTGCATTTTGGGAGGCCTGAAGCTTCAACAGATATGGTGACCCCTTCTCAACCAGCATCAATAGATTCCAGGTTTCAACTGCCAAATTTTAGGCTATGAAACGCTAAAAAAGACCATCGATTCGCTTGAAAATTTAATTCCTTAAAAAATGTTGTTTCAGGGACAATTCTGGGATTAGGGTTCCTGAAGCTAAAGATTCATTAGCTTTGTCGTGTCCATAAATAAAAAAAATAATCATATTGTCACTGTGTCATGTTCATAAAAAATTAAAAAAAAAGAATTATAATAATTATAACAATTACAATTATCATTAATTCACTGTTTGTAAACCAATGAGAATCAACCCCACTTTTCTCCTCTACACACACAAACACGTGATATTCTCACTATCGGACAGGCAGTTAACACGAAGAGGTCGTCAACACGTGCGACAACGACATTTTTAACTCCTTTTCTTTTTCAGGACATAATAGCAACATTTATCTCTTAATATTCAACAAAATTCAACATAACAATACTCATTTTATTGTTTCCACGTTTTGTTTCTCATTTTTACGAGTACCTTTTTATATATACGTGTAAGGAGGTTATAATTGTTTACTCAGAGTTATAACTCCACTACAGTTTTATAGTAGATTTTCTATTGAATATACACAATTCTTCCTTCAAGGGTATGAAGATAAACTAGAACCAGCAGCAAGGCCTCTGATCGGGAGATTGAAGGCTTCATAACTGCTGCTGCTCCCAACTCCATCCAGACAACGGCGGATTATACTTTGCTGGAATTTCTTTTTTTACTATTAAAATCTGCTGAAATATTGTTTTACTATTAAAATCTATTGCTGGGATTTTTTTTTTACTAATAAAATCTATTGCTAATTTAATTTTACTAATAAATTCTATTGCTGGGATTTTTTTACTATTAAAATATATTGCTGTTTTTTTTTACTAATAAAATCTATTGCTAATTTAATTTTACTAATAAATTCTATTGCTGGGATTTTTTTACTATTAAAATATATTGCTGTTTTTTTTTACTAATAAAATCTATTGCTAATTTAATTTTACTAATAAATTCTATTGCTGGGATTTTTTTACTATTAAAATATATTGCTGTTTGTTATTTTTTTTACTATTAAAATCTATTGCTAATTTAATTTTTTTTTTTACTAATAAATTCTATTGCTAATTTAATTTTATTTTTTTCTATTAAAATATATTGCTATTTTTTTTTTTTACTAATAAAATCTATTGCTAATTTAATTTTTTAATAAATTCTGTTGCTGGGATTTTTTTTGCTATTAAAATATATTGCTGTTTTTTTTTTATTTTTTTAATTTATTTTAAAATCTATTGCTGGGATTTTTTTACTATTAAAACATATTGCTGTTTTTTTGCTACAAATTTTTTTACTAATAAATTCTATTGCTGGGATTTTTTAAAAAATTTATTGCTGTTTTTTACTATTAAAATCTATTGCTTTGAAATTTTTTCAAATTTTAAAAAATTTATTGCTGTTTTTTTACTATTAAAATCTATTGCTGGAATATTTTTTAACTATTAAAATATTTTGCTGGAAGATTTTTTTTACTAGTAAATATCTATTGCTGGAATATTTTTTTTTTCTAATAAAATCTATTCCTGGATTATTTTTTTTCACTAATAAAATCTATTGCTTGGATATTTTTTACTAATAAAATCTACTACTGGAATTTTTTTTACTATTAAAATCTTTTGAATATTTACTTTCATTGTGAAAATTGACGTTCACACAAACATGTTCGGTATATAGTGGCTTAGAGATATGTGGGGCTTCGGGATGAAAATGAACAGTTGATTTACCCGTGCCAAGGAGATTAATGGAGGGTGATAATGACAAGGAAGCACACGGCTATTTTTTTGACAAAATACGATAAGGATTTTTGTTTTTAGGAATTTACACGTTTTGAAGTCGTGTCAATAGCTCGTTTCAGGAAAATAAATCCGAAATCAGAAGTCCGTAGTTTTAACGAATTGTCACAAGAGGAAATGTTCACACAACAGATTAAATGATCTGACATAAAATAATAATAAAAATGTTTAAAACAAACCTAAGAGAGTTCATTGCTGACAGAAATGATATACGGTTGCAGACATTCAGAATTAGACAAAGAGGGATAGTTTGAAATACTTAGCCTTCTTAGATTGTTCAGAGAATGTTCCTTGAAGTACCACGTGATTTGTTAAGGCCGAAAATAGAATTGGCGAGTATTTCGACAGTGGCGAACATTTCAACGTTAGACACGTGAACAGAAAGGACACTTTTCCCATGACTTCAGATATTCTTCTCTTATTAATTTAACTTTTCTATCTATTTTATATCAAACAGAATTTCGCATAGTCTCGCTACATTCTTTGCTTTCTTTTTAGATCAACGGCTAATTTCTTTGGAGACAAAATTTTCATTAGTCCAAAAGCAATGTCATATAGGCTCACGAATTTATTTCCGTTCATTTTTCTCTGCTCGACGGCCAATCTCTGTTTGGACTGGCTGAAAGAAAATTTAACATAGGTTTTCCGTCTTTTATCTCCGAATTTGAAGGGTGCGGGTAAAGGGATTTATTATTTCGCACTCACTACAGAAACCCCTGCGTAACATAGAAAAAAAGATAACTTTGGGAAACCCTGTATTTATTTATGAAAAACATGTTTTTTAACAGAATAATTGACGTTTACATGTGAATATATAGTGGAGTTTTGATGTCTTTTTAGTAAATATGTATGTTACATTGCTTATTGAGCAATTGAGTGGTCACGTTTTCAATTTGTAATGCCTGGATTCGGTGTTATTATTGCATTTGTTCATGAAGATGGCGTTCTTTGTTGGCGCCGGATGCAACGTTTTTTTTCTGCCTATGGGCAATGTATTCCGATCCCATTTTGTCATCCATTGCGTGTGTGTCGGGTATGGAGTCGCTTCGTACTTTTAGGATCAGAGCACGTCAAGTTTTTCCATACACAATCCACGCTTTCTCAAACTTATATTTATATTTTCTTATTTATTACTCTGTCCATGAAGGGACGTTTTTTCTTATTTCTCCTGTCTATCTAAAAATAAATAAATATTTGTTTTTCTTTTCTTTTACTTTGCTTTTTGAAATTCTTTCTTGTGAATATTTTTCTCTTTTTTGCCTTGTGGTTATATTTTTCCGTTTTGAATCTTATTTATTTATTTGTTAAATGTCTTTATCCTTTCAATTTATTCCATTTTCCCTTAGTTTTCTTCATTCTTGCTTTTATGCTTTTTCGATTTTTTTCTTTTTCTATCTTTTTTTCTTATTCTTTTCCCAATATTTTCCTTTTCTTATTTTTATCTTTCTTTATTAATATTCCAATTATCGTTTGCTTTTCTTTTCATCTTTTATTTTTATCAATAATGTTTTTCTTTTCCCTTCTTTTAATTCTACCTATATTCATATTCTTTATTCCTTGCCCTACAACATGTATAATTCTTCCTATAGTCTTTGTCCTTCTATAATTTCTATATGCTTTGTCCCTAATTCTTCCTACATTTTTTTCCCTTGTTCAATAATGTTTACTATATTCTTTTCCCTTTTTATCTTTAATTCTCCCTACTTTTACCTATATATTCTTTGTCTCTATTCTTTAATAATTTGTATTTTTTCTCCCTACTTTTATCATTCTTGTATATCCCTCTTTTATTCTATATATTCTTTGTATTCTTTGTCCTCTATATATTCTTTGTCTAGTATAATTTTATCATTCTCTATATATTCTTTGTCTCTATAATAATTTGTATATTTTTCTCTTTTTATCCTCTATATTTCTTTGTCAATTAATTTCCATATTTTCTATATATTCTTTGTCTCTACTTCTATAATAATTTGTATATTTTTCTCCCTACTTTTATCATTCTCTATATATTCTTTGTCTCTACTTCTATAATAATTTGTATATTTTTCTCCCTACTTTTATCATTCTCTATATATTCTTTGTCTCTACTTCTATAATAATTTGTATATTTTTCTCCCTACTTTTTTATCATTCTCTATATATTCTTTGTCTCTTCTATAATTCTCTATATATTCTTTGTCTCTATAAATAATTTATATTTTTTCTCCCTACTTTTATCATTCTTCTTTGTCTAATATTTCTTATTTTTTTTCTCCCTCTTTTATCATTCTCTATATATTCTTTGTCTCTACTTCTATAATAATTTGTATATTTTTTCTCCCTATTTTTATCATTCTCTATATATTCTTTGTCTCTACTTCTATAATAATTTGTATATTTTTCTCCCTACTTTTATCATTCTCTATATATTCTTTGTCTCTACTTCTATAATAATTTGTATATTTTTCTCCCTAGTTCTATAATTCTCTATATATTCTTTTTCTCCCTACTCTTATCATTCTCTATATTCTTTGTCTTCTATAATAATTTCTCTATATATTTTTGTCTCTATATTTTTTGTATATTTTTCTCCCTAGTTCTATAATTCTCTATATACGCTTTGTCCCTACTTCTACAGTTCTTATTATATTATTTGCCCCAACTTCTATAATTCCATATACATCCTTTTTTACCATTCCTATAATTCTTTCTGTATTTTTGTCCCAACCGCAATTATTCTATATGTAAATCTGAGTAATTCATTGAGTCTAGAAGTATCCTCAACAGAATGCAGAAAGGATTGGACAGCCGTTTAGTCCTATTTGGGACCCATCATCAGTGCGTATCCAATACCAAGAATCAAACCTGGATAGTTACGATACGTCGCAAGCGACATACCACTGGACAAACGGGCCTCGGTGACAAGCTATACTCGTTATAATTTCACAATATTCTTTGTCATAACTTCTATAATTGTCTCAATATTCTTTGTCCTAACTTCTTGTTATGGAGTGGTTTCACAGTGGAAGCTTGTATTTGTACTAAGTCGGTCCTAAAATAGGTTCGACGTACAAAACGTTAGGAACTTGATATAATAGGTAATGACGCAGAGAAATCTAGTTGTGATCCCTGATACTTTAGTATCCGACTAACGGTCGTCCGGGATCGACTGACTGACACACTGAGCGACTCACTTGCTACTCTTACTACTCCTACTTATTATAGTAGTGGGAGAGTCTATTAACTATAGAATAGGTGTGTTCCACTATAACACCTCTATAACTGTCTCAATATTCTTTGTCCTAAATTCTATAATTGTCTCAATATTCTTTGTCCTAACTTCTATAATAGTCTCAATATTCTTTGTCATAACTTCTATAATCCCCTATATACTATGGCCGTACTTCTGTACTTTTAGTTATCTATTAAATCTCCTTTGTACATTGCTTCCTTTACGTATTTGTTGTTTCTTTTCTTCTTTTTTTATTTATTTTTCTTTGTCCAATTTTTTCCCCCTGCCTTTGTCCTTTCTTTTTGTGTTATTCTTTTTCTCTCTTCTTCGCTTTATCACTTTACCCTTTTTCTTCTTCTTTTATTCTTCCTTCTTTTTACTATGCCTTGTGTATTTTCTTTTCTTTTAGTGCTCCTTTTTCTTTTTGTCCTTACTTTGAAGGAATACTGATAAATATTTTACCAACTATAAACACACGTCAAAAATACTATTACATCACCAACCTTTATTTAATCCATTCATAAAGAATCTAAAGTATATTTAACTACCGCAACCAATGTTGACTTAAATCAACATGGCGACAACCGCGAAAGATAAATAATATTTATACGACACACATGCACACTACTATTCATCCATGTCTTTCATGTGACTAAACCTGTTCTTCACACAATCTTTTGTTCCAGTATTTCCTTACAGTATTATTAAGCTGAACTATGAGCAGTATATAAACTTTATAACAATTTATTTTCTTATTTTTATCCTTTATTAAACGTTCTCATATATTTGATGACGATTTTATACTTTTTATCATTTCTTATTTATTGATTTCTTTCTATTATTGTCAATTAAATCAATAATTATAATGAATCGTACACTTGATGATGAACTGTGTACTCCGATATTCAATGTAAAATATATACGTGTGCTTATATGTGTAACATCAGTGCTAGTATTTTTTTCAGCGAAGCAGACGACACTTCTTCGCTCAGGTGAACTGGTATGTGGACCTATACTGGTCCACAGCCAAATAAGAATTAAATTATAACATTCTGTATTTACATTTCATATCTACTACCAGTAATATATCGATGACATGTACACTGTAATTACAAAGAAATATATATTTGTTTCACAAAAACAAAATAATTGAACTCTTTTTTTTCCATATGTATTTTTTTGTATCTGTCTATATATCTGAGATGAAATATTATTATTACTTACAGTATTTACACTTAGAAATTATCAAAAAAATACATTACTTACGTTATTTACATTATTCGGACTGTTATCTTCATCTTCATTGCCATATTAACATCGTTTCGGTCGTAGTACGCTCCGGTCCTCTTCAGGTGATTGGACTTTAGAAATTCTAATCACCTGAAGAAGGCCGGAGCGTACAACGCCCGAAACGTTGTGAATATGGCAATGGAGATGAGGATAACTGTCCGAATAATGTAAATAATGTAAGTAGTGTATTTTTTGATAACTTTATTTATTCTTTATGAAAATTAAATGATAGTATTGTAGTTATGGGTAGGCCCCCTTTGTCTTCTGGCCACCAATATTGAAATACAGAGTCCGTCACTGTTGGACAGTAACCACCATCTGACTACCAACATTCTGGGAAATTACTTCCCACGGGCTTTTAAGCTGTCGAGAACCAATATTAACATGTAGACAATGCATTATCTCACCTAGAGTGATTATTCTATTTATTGTCAAATGTTTATCGTGTATATCGTCAGATAGTACCTTTGCAGCGAAGCGGTCGACCCTGCTTTACCCAGTTGTACTGGGATGCGGAACTGTACTGGTCGACGGCCTACATCCAACTCTCACACGTGGCTCCAAGAAGTTGCACGCATAAGTACTGACACAGCCACAATCTGGCCAAGGACATCGGCCTGCCGGTTAAACTGTGTGGGAGTAGTCGAAAGGATTTCTCGACCCGACTCGTTAAGAGGAACGCCTTTCCTTAATCCACCCGTGAGAAGCGCCATCTGGGCGTATGTGTTGCGCCTCAGAGGTCAACGGCTTTACCAGTGAGGGATGGAACTTCCGAGAGGAGAGATGGGGTAACCGGAACATCCCCAGTGCAAAAGGAAACACAATTGTGAGATGGAGGGGGATGATCACCGTAGTGGCCCAAAATGCGCTAGCTGAATGAATGATTATCATTATTATTTTTACAAATTCTGTGTCTCCTCATGACGTAGACGATCATGGATCTCCACAACTTCCTGTCTCTTGTAGCTCTTGCTAAGCTTTGTCTGTTAGTTCTAAACCCTGTTCCACCATCCATTTGGTCGGTCTCATTAAGTATGCTATACGTTGTTTACCTCTGTTCATCTTGCCTTCCATCTGTCCTGTGAGTATCAGATTTTCCAGGCCCGCTCTCCTCGTTATATGCCATCGAAATCGCCACTGTCTATTACTGATGTTAAGTGTAAGTTTCCTTTTGTCACCATTTTCTCTAAAAGTTTGTCGTTGCTCACATGTTCGTACCATGGTCGCCTTAGCATTCTTCTGTTGTTTAAAGTCTCTTCTTCGTCTTTGAGGAGAATGTCCAGCCCTTACTGCGATACAGTTTGGTACTCTTTTCCTTGATTCTAACGAAATTTTCCTATTTCTTTGTACTCTACTTAGCTTTTGGAATGCTTTCTTGGCTATCCCAATAAGCCTTCGGATCACAGTGTCGCTCTTTCTGTCCTCTGTTAAAACACTTCCCAGATTACAAATTATTTATTATATATATATATATATATATATATATATATATATATATATTGATATATATATATCGGCGATATAGCGTTTACACATATAAAAAGGTATAGACATACAGTCCCCTCCAAATGAATTGGAACGGCAAGGTCAATTCCTTTGTTTTTGTTGTTCACTAACGACATTTGGGCTTAAGATCAAAAGATGACTATGAGACAAGGGTTCACAATTTCAGCTTTTATTTCCTGGTATTTACGTTTAGTTATGTTAGACAACTTAGCACATACCACCTTTTGTTTGATCACACCCATTTTCAAGTGAGCAAAACCATTCGAATACGTTACTAACAGACATTTCCAGTTGTCCAGGTGTTGCCTTTTAAATTGATTGTTTAAACATTAAATAGCTCTGAATGACTACTCTTGGTTTTAGCCTTGGGTTTCCCCTGTACAGAATGAATTTCTTGTTGAAAAGAATAAACCGATATGAAGATGAGAGAGCTATGGGAGAAAAGCAAGTCATTTTGAAGGCGAGAAAAGAAGGAAAATGTCCTGAGAAATAAAGAAACTACTGGTGTACTGGGCAACAAACTTAAAACAGGTTGGCCAAGGAAGACAGTAGAAGTTAATGACAGAAACATTGTTAGAACTGTGGGGAAAAACAAAACAAAACAACAGTCAGTGACATCACCAACAAACTCCACAGTGCAGGGGTGAAAATTTTACAATCCACCTTTCAAAGAAGATATCAAGGACAGAAATATGGAATCCATACCATTAAGCAAACTATTCTTCAGCAGTAAGAATTGGAGGGACCGATAGGAATTTTCGAGGAAGTACAGAGATGATCGACGAAAGTTCTGGAAGAAAGTTTTATGGACTGATGAGACCAAAATTAATCTCTAATAATGTGATGGAAAATCAACATGGCGACAACCGCGAAAGATAAATAATATTTATACGACACACATGCACACTACTATTCATCCAAGTCTTTCATGTGACTAAACCTGTTCTTCACACAAGAAAAAAAAGATCTGTTTATAATCCAAAGCATCTGTAAAACATAGTGGAGGCAGTGTCTTGCCTTGGGCTTTCATGTCTGCTTCTGGAACAGGGCCATTCATATTTATTGAAGAAGTAACTCATGACGGTAGCCGCAGAATGAATTCGGAAGTCCACAAAAACATTTTGTCTGTCAATTTACAAAGAAATTCATCGAAACTAATCGGTAGCAGGACAATGACGCAAAACATACCAACAAAATAAAGGATTTAATCAGGGAAAAAGTGAACAGTTTTAGACTGGCAAAGCCTATCACCGGACCATAGGCTAATAGAATATGCATTTCCTCTCTTGAAGAGTTGACTGAAGTAAGAGCCCCCCTCTCCCCGAAACGATCAAGAACTGAAACAGTCTACGTTAAAGTTATGGAAAAACATCACAAATGAAGAATGCACCAGTTTGGTGATATCAATGGATTGCAGGCTTGATGCAGTTATTGCAAGCTAGTATTATGCAAGCAAATATTAAATGTTGTTTACTTTAAGACTATCTGTTCCTTTACTTTTGCTCACTTAAAAGTAGGGCGATCTGATACAAAAGGTGGTAAGTCCTAAGTTGTTTAACATGTCCAAATGTAAATACCCGGAAATAAAAGCTGGAATTTTGAACTCTTGTCTCATATTCATCTTTTGATCTTAAACTCTAATGTTTTCAGTAAAAAAAGAAAAAGAAAAAAAGAAAAGAAAAAGGAATTGGCCTTGCCGTTCCAATACATTTGGAGAGTACTATAGATATCAACAATGCATAATAACTGTCAAGGCCAAGCCGCAAGCGATCATTATTCATTAACATCTATGCCCATATTATTGGTTGCTTGATTTTGTTTAGCGGCATATCAATCTCTAAAGGTCATTTAATGTCAAAATCTAAATATTTTAAATGTAATTATATGCCTTCAACAATAGTTAAAATGTACTAGTGATCATTTTGCTATAAAATGTGTTGTTAGAAATTCTTTTTTGTATATAGATGTATGCTGGCATTTTTACTATAAAATGTATTTTTATACTTTCATAGTGTTTTCTATTTGTTCATATAGTGCTACCAGCCCGAGTCAATTTAGACCTGACAACAACAGCAATTAAGAGGTGGTTCCGCGCTCCTCAAGACCTCCAATCTCCCGATCAGAGGACTTGTCCCGGATGTAGTTTATCGTCATACCCAGGACTGTCTATGCCCATATTTTGATTGTACAATAAATTTTCATTAATTTGTTTGAAAAAAATAAAAGTTTTATTATTTAACAAACAAAATACTTCCACTATTTTAAAAACAACTTAATGATTAAAATAACAAATCCTTATTTAATAAAGATGCAAGTTTTTTTAAAGCTTTTATATAAAAAGAATTCAGTTTCCAGTTCGCCCTGCGTTTACGAGGACTACAAATAAATCACAAGGCCAAACGTTTCAAAAAGTTTGGATTTGGCTTCAGAAAGAAATATTTACGCATGGCAAGTTGTATGTTGCATTCTCTAGAGTAAGAAATCCTAAGAATTCATTCTTCGCGGTTAAAAAGGAAGATATTTTCTTAAGAAAATATTGTTCATCATGAAGTGAAATTAACTTAAAAAATTATTATACCGCGAAGTAGGGTTTTTGTCAAAGTATTTTTTCAAAACAAAGCTTATATAAATTTCATCGATTGGTTTGCGAAATTGAACGAAACTTAGAGTTTGTAAATCTTGACAAAAATGTTACTGACAACTTCAATGATACTAAATATTGAGAGGATTTCAAATAATTCTAGTATTTAAAAAAAAAGCTGATGAAGTGTATGTGAGGAACCTAGCCTTTTGTCAGACTTGACTGATGTACGAAAAAATAGCCATAATATGATACAGACAGAAACCAATGAAATTGATGACACGCACTTACGCAATTATTACGCGTTGTTCGGGTCCCGTTTTAATCCCGCCCGAAAAGGGAAGTGCAAATAATTATGTAACATAAATGAAATATTGTTCTTTGTATATCTTTTCTTTAAGATTTTTTTCATATACAAGAATCTAGTTTCCAGTTAGCCCAAGAACTATAAACAAATCACATGGCCAAACCCTTCAAAAAGTTTGAATTTAATTCCAAAAAAAAATTTACACAGAGCCAGTTGCATGTTGCATGCTCAGGAGTAAGAAAACCTAAGAATTTATTATTCGTTGTTAAAAAGGGGAAAAAAGAAATAGTAGTAAAAAATTAAATTTAAAAAATTATTAAATGGCGAAGTAGGGATTTTGTAAAAGTATTTTTTCAAACAAATCAGCTTATTCAAATTTCATCGATTGGGTTGTGAACTTGGACGAAACGTAGAGAGTGTAATTCTGGAGAAAAATGTTAGCGATAACTCCAACAATACTAAATATCGTGAGGATTTCACCAGGTGTCAGCGTGTTGGAAAGAAATTCTAGTACAACGAAGATAAGCATACAATAGAACAAGTTCTGAACATTCGGAAATGCAAAGAACGAAAAAGAATGTCGATAAGCATTGACACAATCTGGACAGTTGACACAATCTGGAGATTTGATCTCGACAAGATTTTGGTCAATATTGGATTCCAGAGAACTCAAGCTTTGTAAATCTCGACAAAAAATGTTAGCAATAACTTCAACAATACTAAATACTGTTAGGATTTCAACACGCGTTAACGTGTTGCAAAATAATTCTAGTATTTAAAAAAAATCTGATAAATTGTATGTGAGCAACTTAGCCTTTTGTCAGACTTGACTGATGTACAAAAAAATAGCCATAATATGATATAGAAAGAGACCAATGAAAGTGATGACACGCACTTACGCAATAATTACGCGTGTTGTTCAGGTTCCGTTTTATTTCTGTCCGGAAAGAGGAGTGCAGGTTCGATTTTTCAATTTTCCCGCTACTTTTCAGCGATTCTCTTAATCACAACTTCGCTTAGATGTTCGCGATTTGTTCGTTTTTTATTTATTTATTTTTTCCCTGCCGGGCATCCAAATTTCTCTCGTGACTGAGAAAAGCACAATTTTTTTTATTGTTATTTCATTCGTTTGTCTTATTCAGTCAAATCATCTTCCTTTTTTTTTATTCATTCATTCATATTTATTCGTTTCCAATCAGTTCTTATGCCATTCGGAAGAACTTGCTATCGATATTCCATCATTCTTTTTTTCATTCTATTTTTCCACATTTTTTTCCTCTTTTTTTCCGTTTCTTTCTTGAAACCTCATTAATTTCTCCATTCTTTTCTTTGTATATTTTATTTTTCTTCTTCCTTTTGGATTCATCTTTTTAAAGATTTTCCTTCTTTCAACCTGATATTTGAATTTTTTTTTTCTGATAGAAACATTTTTATATCCTCCTTTCTTCATGTTTTTGCCAATTTTCCGTCTTCTTTCATTATGATTTATATTTCTTTTTCTTCTTCTTTTTCCTTCTACTTTTTCTTCTTCTTTTTTCCTTTTTCTTTTTCTTTCTTTCTTCTTTTTCTTCTTCTTCTTCGTTTTCTTCTACTTTTTCTTCTTTTTTCTTTCTTCGTCTTCTATTTTTTCTTCTTCTTCTTTGTTTTCTTCTACTTTTTCTTTTGTTTTCTTTTTACTTCTTTTTCCTTCTTCGTTTTCTTCTATTTTTTCTTCTTTTTCCTTTTTCTTCTTTTTCCTTCTTCGTCTTCTTCTATTTTTTCTTCTTTTTTTCTTTTTCTTCTTTTTTATTTCTTCTTCTTCTTCATCTTCTTCTTCGTCTTCTTCTTCTTTATTCCTTCTAATTTTGGACATTTTTCTTCTTTCCTTTAAACTTTTCCTTTTTTTCCCTTCGTAGTTTTTTATTTTTTCTTCTTTTATTTTGATTATTTCATATTTTTCTTTTTTTTAATTTCTGATTTTTGCATAATATTGTTGTTGCTCTTTTTCTTCTTTCCTTCCACTTATCTACATTTTCCTTCTATATTCTTCTGGATTTTATTTCTTTTTTTCTCTTCGGATTTTTCTCTTTTCTTCTGATTATTTTATCCTTCCCATTTTCTTTGATTTTGATTTTTATATATTCTTTCCTACTAATTTTGTAGATTTTCCGTTTTTCTTTCGGATTTTTCTCTTTCTTTCCTTAAGAGGTTTAGGATTGTTTTCCGTTCTTATTGTTTTATATTTTTCTTTCTCTTTCATTCTGATTTTTATATGTTCTTCTCATTCTCCTTCTTCTTCTTCTTTCTGATTTCTTAGATTTTCCTTTTTTCTTCGGGATTTTTTTCTTTTTCTTTTATTCAAATTTTTAAAATTATACTTCTTTCTTTCTGGTTGTTTCATATTACTTTATATATATATATATATATATATATATATATTTCCATATTTTTATGCTTCTTTTTTATATTTTTTTCCATATTCTTCTTCTTATTATTATTCCTCCTCCCCCTCCTCCTCCTAATTCGTTAGATTTTCCTCCTTTCTTTCGGAATTTTTCTTTTTCTTCTATTTGAATTTTTAGGATTTATTCTTTTTCCTTCTTGTTATTCCTGCTCCTCCTCTTCCTCCTTCTTCTTCTTCGTCATTTCTTCTTCTTCTTCGTCATTTCTTCTTCTTCATCATCATCTTTATTTTCTTTTTCTTCTTCTTTACTAATTTTGTAGATTTTCTTTCTTTCGAATTTTTCTTTTTCAGTCCTTTCGATTCATGGATCGCCTTTCTTTTTTATTGTTTTGCAGTTTTTTCTCTTTCATTCTAGTTATTTGTATTTTCTTCCTCTTGTTGTTGTACTTCGTAGATTTTCATTCCCTCTCCTGGATTTTTTTCTTTTTCTTTGCTACGAACTTTTAGGATTCTTTTTCTTTCATTCTGATTCTTACATCTTCTTCTTCTTCTTTTTCTTCTTCTTCTCATCGTATTTTTATTCGCACTTCTCAACTGTGGAACTCTCTTCTGCTTCTTGCCTCAAGTAAACTTTGATCTTCAAAAATTTAAATACAATATCAATCGTTATCTTCTGTCTTCTTAATCCTGTTCTTTTATTGTTTTCTCTCCTTAATAATCTTTTAGTTTTCTCATATTCTTTCAGTCAGTAGCACCTTGCGTCTTAGTGGATTTATTGCCTATTTTTCTGGTTAAATGATTAAAAAAACAATCTTGTTTCTGTTTTATTGTTCAAACTTTTTCTTTCTTTTCTGTTTTATTCTTACGTTGTTTTCAACATAGAAAAATTCTCTGCGAATTTTTTGTACAGAAGTTAATTAAAAATACGCTATTAAAATGAATTCTTATAATTTCGACACATAAAAGTAAAAAAAAAGAAAAAATCTCATTTTAAAAATTTAGTGACGCCAACAAACACTCGTTGCCATTTTTTTAATGCCAACGAATACTCGTTGTCACTGTCGTAAATGCTCGTTGTAGTAGAGTCTTTATAATCGCAGATACAACTAGAGTATGCCGTTGAACAATACTGGTGTCAGACGCCTTCCAATAACATTCGCATTAATAGTACTTACGATAAGTAATCCTCACTTGAATAGTAATCGGTAGCGATCTGAATAGAAAAATAGTATAGTGAATAGAGTAGAGAATGGCGGCCCGTGTAGTATAGAGGATAGACCAGAAATAGTGATCCGAATAGTAATAGAGGATAGACTAGAAATGCAGATTAGTTAGACGTCACGTTACCTTCCATACATGCGTTTCCTCTATAGTCACGTGGTCTATTTAATTCAGTAATGGGATCGTTTGTGTTTGCTCACTGGCGATCTATGTTCAGACTCAAGTGTCGGCAGCGAAACTTTATTCCTATATATAAAAAAAAGACCACAAGTATACGTCTGTACATCCAGAGGGTGTTTGTCCAGCAGGTGTTTCCTTTATTCTTTTTTTAATTATCTATGTTAATCGTATACAAACAATTAAGACATCACTTTTCGCTTTTTCATCCGTGAACGAACCTTATTATTTTTAATGCTTCGTACTGCTAGGGGGCGCTGAAAAGTTCTCAACAAATTTTTCCCAAATTCTGATTGAATAAATCTTTTTTTTTTTTTATGGAAGGTCTTGAGACAAGAGATTTTCTCTTGTATATACCTACTGACAGGAGATCAACACAAATGCAAGTTCCAAACAAAGAGTACTGCAAATTTCTCTTTCTAACTAATGAATTTTTAAAATGAATTTTTATGTTTGGTAATTTCATCAAATTTTGGGAAGTGTCCCTCTAACAAACTGATGCTGTAACAACGTTTCCATTCAAGGGATCGACGAGGAACTTCGATATGGTGTAATGACTACCAAGATAGATCAGTTAGTACTGAATATTGAGTTCGATCCTCACTGGGTGCCTCATACTTTCGACTTTGTTCCAAATCTAAGTTAAGCTTAGAAAATCCCCATTCAGGACATGGACGATCATGTTTCTTCACGATTTCCCGTCATTTTTAGATCTTAGTAAATTGTGTCCTATCGCTAACTATCCTAATCCCTGTTGTGTTAGCAATTTACAAAAGATCGTTCTTCTTCATCTTCTTATATACATCTTGTAACTTCTAGACATGGAAGATCACGGCTCTCCACAATTTCCTGTCCTTTTGAGTTCTTAGTATATTTTGTCTTATCTCTCCTAATTCCTGTTCTGATAACCATTCACCCACGTTCGTTCCTCGTGTTCTGATTCTTGTGCTTGTTCTTCTTCTTCTATGTACCGTATCCCTTCAGGATGTGGGCGAACACGGCTCTCCACAATTTCCTGTCCCTTGTAACTTATAATAAATATTTTTGCTATCTCTCATAATCCTAGTTATGACAACCATTCATGCACGTTCGTTTCTCTTGTTCTGATTCTTGTGCTTGTTCTTCTTCTATGCAACGTGTTCCTTCAGGGCGTGGACGATCACGACTCTCCACCATTTCCTGTCCTTTGTCGTTTATAATAAATAGTTTTTGCTCTCTCTCCTAATCCCTGTTCTGCAAACCATTCACACACTTTCGTTCTTGTTTTGGTTCTTGTGTTTGTTGTTCTGCTTATATATATATATATATGAGGTAACTGATTAGCGACTCGGATTGAGGAATCGGAGAGCATATTTCGAATCCATTACACTCAGGTATGTGCTATTACCCTAGGGGAAAGATATGAATCCACTTCTTCTCTCCATCAGCTATGAGTAAATGACAGGACAGACTGGGTTCTATAGCCTTGGATGGAAGCTGGTCTAGGAGAAGGACAACTCTGAATTCAAAGCCTGCGGAGAGTCCTTTTGGGACAATGAGGTACATAGTGCATCAAGTCTCTGTATCCGGCTCTCCAAAAAGTGTGGTTGGTTCTGCACAAAGCCTTCACCACTATAATCAATTCATATTTAGGGGTGTCTGGCTGCCGGTTCCTAGGAACTGAGTTGGTTGACACTCATACGTCGAAATCGACAGAAGAGTTCCTATTATTTTTATTACATATTACCACACACACACACACACACACACACACACACACACACACACATATATATATATATATATATATATATATATATATATATATATATGTATAATAAAATTCTGGGTATTTAGGAAAATCATTATAGTAATTCATCAAGTCTAGAAGAATCCTCAGCAGAATTCAGAAAGCACTAGACAGCCGTTTCATTCTATTTGGGACTCATTAGCACATCACCTACAAACATAATATAAACATTGGGTTATGAATATGAGTATCACCACTGAATTTGTGAGTAGCGGCGCTATATCGAGTCTAGTCAGTTTCTTCTTCGACACCCAGGCCCGTTGGTCCAGTGGTATGACGCCTGCGTTTTATCGTAACGGTCCGGGTTGATGCACACTACTGATGTGTCCCAAATAGGACGAAACGACCGCCCAGTGCTTTCTGCATTCTGTTGAGGATTCTTCTAGAAACAACATGTCACCTGAGTGTTGACTTCAATATTCACTTATATATTTACATACGCTCTATCTCAGATATTGTGCACTTTATTCCATAAGCACCGCACACCTTAGAACTATATATTATTTCTTTATATATATATATATATATATATATATATATATATATATATATATAGGGGATGCAAAAGTAGTTATACGGTAAGCAGTATTGATATGTTTGTATAATCAATACCTTTTTCTGCGCACGTCTTCTTTTTCATTATTGTATATCTGCATACCTACTTTTGCACCCCCCAGTATATATATATATATATATATGGCTGAAAGGAGTATTAAGACATATTCATTTATATATTCATTCCTGTTCATATGCGTATATATATATATATATATATATATATATATATATATATATATATATATATATATAGTCAAACGCGTAACCATTATACCGTGTTCCTTGAAGTATATATTCCTACACGTGTAAGCATATAGGAAATCCTTTCACACGCATTTCATATTTACGCAGAAGTAAGCGTGCAATATATTTAGGATTTATATTCAATATGGAAATGCATGAATCATGTCGACTGTCTCGTGCCAATGCCTCACGATAATAATAATAATAATAATAATAATAATAATAAAAACCTTCGTTTTTTTGTTTTTGCCGGTAGTGGGGCCAGAGAGAGAGAGAGAGAGAGAGAGAGAGAGAGAGAGAGAGAGAGGAGGAAGAGAGGGAGGGCAGGGACGGGACGGGGTCGAATTTCTGGAATTATCTTTGCACGCGACCATCTTTATCCCTGTCGGATGATCGTTGCGTTCTCGGCTTACGCTCGATGTATATATTAGTGAATCGGAATATTTAACATGCCTTAGCTCAACACTCACA